TGATAAACTTCAATTGTTTATCAAATTGATAAACCTGGGCATCCCCTTATATGATTGGGGTTTCCACTCTTTATTAATTTATCAATTTATTAAATTTTGTTTAAATTATTTGTACTACATACATATTACACACAAATAAGCTAAATTTTTTTTGTTAAAATCATAAAATAATGTTAAAAATCGTGCATCGCACGAGCCTAATCTAGTTGTACAGTAAAAGATTTCGCTATTATATACTCCCTCCGTTTTTAAATACTCGCTCCCTTTCTCTTGGACACACATGCCGATGTTAATCTTTGATCACTAATATCTTTAATTATCAATAAGTAAAAATTCTAGCAATTGAAAATTAATAATCTATTCATTGAGATAATTCCAACAAGTACCCACAAGAGTATATTTTTTCTTATGTATAAATCACAAACATTAGTCAAAGTAGGACAAATGAATAGTGCAAAAAATAGAAATGAAACAAGTATTTAAAAATGGAGGAAATACTATGATAGCCAATAGTTTAGATTGGTACTATACTAGTTTGAACTACTTTTTTAAAAATATAAAAATTAAAAAAAAAAAAAAAAGGTTTGAACTAAATGAAACAAAATTTGAGAATTTTTACATGATGAATTTGACTAATTGAATTACCATTACATTAAATTCAGCTTAAATTCAAGGCTACTAAACCCCAAAATATGGAAAAAACTTGTAAAAATTGAAAAAGTTAATGTAAATTGAATGAAATTAAGATAAACATTGAATTACCTGAGTAAGAGCGAGAAAGTCTTGAAATCAATTTTCTGGAAATGTTTAATTACTGATAAATACAGTATATGAAATCCCTTCCTAAATTCCAATGTATTAATTTGATTGCTATAAATACATTTGATTGTAATATTAAAATACAAAACAGCTACAGTAGCACATTGGCTAAATCTTAATGACAAAGATCCAGGTTCGAAGCAGCAAATTTTTTGTTTTTTCAATTTATCGCTTCTTAAATTAATTGGATATAAATTGTATTTTTCCGTATCCAAAAATCACTAAAGCTGCAGTAGCACATTGGTTTAATCTTAATCAGAAAGATCCAGGTTCAACCCCTGGCTGCAGCAAATTCTTAGTTTTTTTAATTCATCACTTCTTATGTTAATAATTAGTTTTTGTAGACTGTTAACACTAAAGCTACAGTAGCACATTGGCTAAATCTTACAGAACAAAGATCCAGGTTCGAATCCTGGCTGCAGCAAATTTTCATTTTTTTTTAAATTTATCGCTTCTTATATTAATGTTGATATAAATTATTTTTTTCTTGAGGCCTTTTGTTTTTAATTTGTGTGATACTTGGTGTGTAAAACTCTATAATTAATTAATAAATCGTCTTTTATGTGTTAAAAAAAAATATATTATTGCTTGAAAAGTATATAATCATAAATGAGTGGAAGGATAATAAAAGTATGTGATAGTTTAATTTGGAATTTGAATTTTTTTAATTGTACCATCCAATACACAACTAAAACAAAAGTAGGTAAAAAATCTTTTATATATATATATCTTGTTGAAAACAGGTCACAAAATATTTTAAGAATATAATATTTGGTTTATAGTTGTCCAACTTATTTAAAAAAGATTTTAATATTTTAATATAATAATTATCACATTAATATGAAATATGTATAAAAAATATATTAATTTTGTAAATAAATTGTTTACTTAATTATAAATAGATTCTTTTAATTAAAAAAAATAAACTTAAAAGCGCATCAAAAGATGACACGTGTCATTGCTACTATGTCTTTTAGTGTACACACTATATAGTTATTGATTTACCAAAATCTAATATATTATTATATAAATAAAGTAGGCATTTTTGGAGAGCATTGAGAGCGCCACATAAGAAAAGGTATATTTTCGACCAATTAAAAATTAGATTTCTATTTTATTGTAGAATTAAAAAAATCACTCGTCACCTAAACAAAAGTGACAAATGAAATTTTTAATTTTTGCCACGTAGGTAAAAACGACGAATAGTAATTTATTAGGATTTTAATTATTTAAGAACACTAAATTTTATCATTTTTATTTGTTACAAAACTAAAAATTATCTTTAGATATTAGGATTTATATTATTTATAAAACTAAAAATTATATTTTGATATTTAAAAAATATAAATTATTATTTGATGTTAATGGTTTTACGTAAATATATGATAGTATGATACTTTCATATAGAATTTTAAAACTTATAACGCAAGAAAAAAAATTAAGAGATCACCAAAAATATATTTATATACAAAATGTATATAAAAATTCGTGCATCGCACGCTACATAAGCAAAAGTAATATTTCGACCAATGAAAAATTAAATTTATATATTAATTTAGAATTTTAATTTTCAGTAGCCATTTAAGAAAAAATTAACAAATGAAATTTGAGAATTGAAATTAAAAAATAGTAATTTAAGATTTAAATTATGAAAAAAAACAAAAAATATCTTTTATATTATCTTTTACACTAGGATTTATATTATTTTAACAAATAATTAGAAATTAAAAAAATATATATTTTGATTTAATGATTTTATCTAACTATTCGATGAATGAGATAATATTATTTCAATTTATAAATTCAAGTTCTGTATACGTAAAATTTGAATAAGAATAATTTAAAACTTAACAAAATATTTTACCTTAAATTAATGTTAAAATAATAGAATAGAAAATAAAAACAAGAAAATATTAAGAAATTACAAAAAAAAAATATACAAAATGAAATATTTAAAAACCGTGCATCGCACTGGCTTACATCTAGTTTATTGTTAATTTTGGTCATTTTGTATTATAGATTAGGGAAAGCTATTGTTGTAATGTATTTTTGTAGTAAAGTATAGAGTTACTAATAAGAATTTCTCAAAAAAAAAAAAGGTAAGAATAAGAAGCATTTGAAGAGAACTAAAATAAAAATGAAAAATTATAGAAAACATGTTTTTTTTTAAATGCTAAAGAATGCTTTTAATTAGAATAAAAAATCGAGGGCTCGTTAGTCTTTGTTTAATATTCTATGGTTCAATCTAGTTTTTAATTGTTTTTTTTAAATCATGTGATATATGTCATTTAATAAATTAAAATCTGGTTAAATCTAATATATATATATATATATAAGAGAGTTTTTCCCCGAGTTTTTAGAGAGCCACGTAGGATCTGATTTTCTTATCGCGCCATGTAAGATTATAAATTTAAGTTGTAGCAAATTAAATAAGAGATTATTAATTTCTTTTACAATTAAATAATTCAAATGCCACGTAAGCAAAATTGACGAATAAGATACTAAAGTTTAAAGTAATTAAATACAAAATATTATCTTTTGAGATTAAGAATTTTATCTAATATTTTAAAGCTAATATAATAACAAAAATCACATAATATGAAAAATATTTTTTTATAAAAATACTAACATACTATGCATCGCACGGGCTTCATTTAGTTTATTAATATCACGATAATTTTTAAAACTGGCATAAAAAAGTGGAAACAGCTTTAACTTTAGGGCTTGTTCGTGGCCGTGTCTTGTTTATAATATGTTTCTTAAAAGGAAATAAAATTATGAAAAGTGGTTTGGACTTTTTTGTTGTCAATTTAAAAAATTATATTGATGATTCTAATAAATTTGACTAATATTTTTACTCCCTCCGTTCATAACGATCACCGACCACATTTTGCTGGCATACATGCAAATGCATAACTTTGACCATTAATGTTTGAACTTTTATATCATTAAGAAGTATAGTTTGAAATATACATAAATACTGATCCAACAATATTTTACGAGTACATGGTAACATATGTTTTTTCATATATTGGTATAAGTATAGTCAAAATAAGTATATGAATAATGCAAAAGTTAAACTATTGCGATTATTATAAAACGAAGGTAATACTCTTACTTTTTAATTTTTATTTCTCGCATTCATTTTTAAATAAATTATTAATCACACTCTCTTTCTTTTACATTTTTTTAAATACTTTAACTACCCTCCAAATTGCCTAAAGTTATGCAGCGATTAAAGTGTAACACTTAAGATAACACGAAAGATGTACAGCTTTTAAATCAAATAAACCTTATCAATGGGCGGGTCGGGCCGAGGTACGTGCAGGCTTTTTTGGTCAATTTTAAGTCGAACCAATAAAATGAACTAAAATAGCATAAACATGCACTCCCAAGCCCGCCCAATAAAATTTTTAAAAATTCATGTCGGGCCTGACCTTAAAATGTTGCCCAAAACTTTCCCAAATTCGGTATGGGACGGGTCAGCCAAAAAGTGCTACCCAAAACTTGCTCAAATTAGGACCGAGACGGGCTAAACTAGCTTAGATCAGCTCTAAAATTTAAAAACCAAAAAATTGATAACCCCTTTAATGGATACTAGGAGAAAGTAGTTTCATGTAGAGGTGATCAACTATAGCCCGCACTCGAAAATAGGGGAGTTTGAGCTAGACTAAAACACAATTGTTTAGTTATAAATCCTAATCTAACATGAAGAAAGCCCATAGAACTAGCTTTAGCCTGATAAGCCCATTACTTTTGCGAATTTAGGCAGGATATATGTTGTTAAGGTCGAACCGACCCGAATTTTCAGCGCATTTTGTGTGCAATTGGCCACTCCATGCAGCCGCTTATAAAAGAACAAAGTAAACTCTGTAATACTGACTTAGTAACCTCTAAACCACTAAATAACCCCTATTACACGAAAAAAAAACTATGTTAACGTTAAGGGCCTATTCTCGTGACTGAACTGAGCTGAACTGAAATAAACTTATTAGAGCTAAAGTGAACTGAACTAAACTAAACTAAAATGAATATTTTATAAGAGAAAAAAATTAGAAGCTGAAGTGAACTGAAAATAATCTAATAAGAACAGCGCTTAAAAGTAACCTTTATAACACTAACGAAGTAACCCGATGATGCTGGTCACACCGTATAACACATTAACACTAATGGGTCGGTGACGAGTGAATAGTGATATACAGTGTGATCCTTGTAACTTAGTAGTCGTCTTGGTCATCATCATCACCCTCTCTCTTTCTCTCTCTCCAAACTTCCCACCACTATCTTTTCTTTCTTTCTCGCCGTCGCTCTGAAGAAATCCTTCCTTCTTCCACAAGTCACTTCTTTCTCTCTCCTCCTCCTGGTACCTCTCTCTTTTCTTCTCAGCTCCTTTTTTTTAAATTATTTTTTTTCCTTTTTCTTCCAGCTTTTATTTTTCATTAATTAATTTTACTTCTGATTTTGTACTCAATTCTTGACTGATTTAATTGTGTTTACAAACTTTTGATTTCTGTTTTATCAAATGGATCTTGTTATAATTTTTGAATTGGGATTATTTTATTTTATTTTTTTATTCAATTCGGTAGATCGTATTATTTTATTTTTCTTTGATTCCTTTATTTTGTTTGGTTATTGGTTTGATTCTACTTGTATAATTTTATCATGATTTTTTCGACTTTGATTGCTTAATTCATGAGTAGTGTTTGATTGTGTAGGTAACATTTGTAGCAAATTATTTGAAGATATTTACTTTATTCTTTCCAATTATGCACAAGTTAATAGTAATTTATACAGAGTATTGTATATTTGTATTGATTGTATATTTGTATTAAATGATTTGGATTGATATCGAATACTCGTAAGTTGATGATGCTGGAATTAAAGCTACAAGTAGTTCATAGTGAAAATTAAGGAGTAGTAGTTTTGTGTTTTTTGAATTTGATTGGGTTGAGACTTCCCTAGATTGCTGTAGCTAGTAAAATGACATTTAAAGAATATTAAAGCCTTGTATGCTGTTGAATGTCCCGTTAATTGCCGATATTTGTAGCCGCCTTGCTGTAGGTAGTTTAGTCCTGTTAAAGGAAAAGGGTGGCATAGGTTTTCTTGATTAGCATAAGTGTGGAAATAACTAGTGAATTTCTAGAAATGGGACTTTGAGTGAAGTTGTGTGACCAAATAGAGTTGCCAAGGATGTGATTTGTTGTGCGTTTTTAGTTCTAGCGAGTTCATGTTTGTTCTTGAACCTTGCTATGGATTGTTGGGTTTTACTCTTACTCATAGGTCATAAATTTTGGCACCCCCCTCCTCAATCTCACACTTTTTTTTTTTTTTTTTTAACATGAATATTCAAGGTTTTCAAGGGAGGGGTGTTTAAATCTATAGACATTGTTTCTTCTATTATGTAATACTTCTCTCTGTTTCTAAAAGTTCTTTTCGTTTAGACTTAATTTTTTAGTATGTGAGGCAATCACCGTCTAGACAAGACAACTTTTACAGACGAAAGGAGTAACGTACCTGCATTCATTCTCAATCACATGGCTCAAATTTGCTGGAAAAGTCTAAAGCTTTTTAGTTTTCTTTTGATGAACTTCTCTTTAAATCTTGCACATAGAGTGTTTTCCATCTATTTTTGATGTTGTTATAAGATAAATTTTCTAGTTTATTGCAGATATCCTCTCATAGAACCATGCTTGCCAGTTCAAACATGACATCATGGGGAGTATCTTCAGATAGCTTGGAGAGAAGTGCTGCAAATGTGCCCAACTCTAATAGTAATGTGGCACAACCATCTGGCAGCCCCCCAAGCCGAATTTCCTCCCCAGGTCCTGTTGCTATTTTGTGGGATATAGAGAACTGCCCTGTCCCTAGTGATGTCCGTCCTGAAGATGTTGCTGGGAACATCAGAATGGCATTACAAGTCCATCCTGTAATTCAAGGTGCTGTTACATTGTTTTCTGCATATGGGGACTTTAATGCATTTCCCAGGAGAGTTAGAGAAGGGTGCCAGAGGACAGGAGTTAAACTTGTGGATGTTCCGAATGGGAGAAAAGATGCCGCTGATAAGGCTATTTTGGTTGACATGTTTCTTTTTGCCCTTGACAATTCCCCACCTTCTTCCATCATGCTGATCTCGGGGGATGTGGACTTTGCTCCTGCTCTGCACATTCTTGGTCAACGTGGGTATACTGTGATCCTTGTTATTCCTTCAGGAGTGGGTGTTTCATCTGCCTTGTGTAATGCTGGTAGGTTTGTCTGGGATTGGCCTAGTGTTGCACGTGGAGAGGGTTATGTGCCTCCGAATTTGGACCCTCGTGGGGGATATGATAATGCTGGGTTTTTGACGGGTTTCCATATAAGTGAGAATATTGATGGAAATGACGAAGAAGCAATTGTCTATCGAGGACTTTCACAAAGCTATTACAACTCAAGGGATTTTACAATAGTGTCTCAGTCTTTATCTGAGTATAACACTTGCACTTCAGCTGGTTTGCCTGGCTTTACCACGTCACTAAGAGCCAATTCTCTGTCTTCTGGTTTGAATGATGTTTCAGGCCCTACAACAGGTTCTATTGCTGTAATTGACCAAAATAGTTCAAATCGGTGGGTACAAGTACAACCTGGCGATGTTAACACTTTGAAGGCACAATTAGTAAAACTGCTTGAATTTTCTGGTGGATGTATACCCCTGGTTCGTATTCCTGCAGAATACCAAAAGGTGTTTGGTCGGCCTCTTTACATTGCAGAGTATGGAGCGTGCAAGCTTGTGAATCTCCTCAAGAAAATGTCAGATGTGATTACTGTAGAGGGGAAGGGTCAGAAGAAGTTTGTGTACCTTCAGAGTGCGAGGGCAGGCCTTTGTGCTCCTTCGCTTGCACCAAAGAGTAATAAGAAAGGGAAAGAAGTTCAGGAAGAGAATATGGAAGCTAATGCTATTTGTGGCTCATCTGATGAGTTCTCTGACGATGAAAGAGTGGTTGTAGAAGATCAAGAGCAAAGAGGTGCTGCAGACAATTCAACTTTGAGTACAGCAGTACTATTTGCACTAGAAGACCAGAACTTGTTACAGTTTAAGCATGAGCTGGAGGAGATATTAGTGAGTTATTCATGCGGGATATTTTTGAGTTATTTTGAAAATATATACCAGCAAAGGTACAAGAAGCCTTTAGACTACCGAAAGTTTGGGGTAAATGTGCTGGAGGAATTGTTCGAGAAGCTGACAGATGTTGTGCTTTTGCACGAGGATCCAGTGACTAAAAAGAAATTCCTGGCTCCTGCTTTTGGTTAAAGGCTTTTAGCAGCCTTGAGTTTTATTTTGCACCTTGGATAAGAGAATCTGTGCCTGTGCTTTGATGCGGGTCATCCATGTGCCTTTTGAATTTGGGAAGAAATTGGTTTCACATGTTAATTTTATTCTGCATGTGCCCTACATGTTGCAAAGGTTACGACGAGGTTTTTTTTAGTTCAGAGTAACTGGTCAACATGTTGATAAGTTGATTGAAATAAGCTTGTGTATATTGTTGTGGCATTCTAGTGGCAAATTTTACTTATGATCTATTAAGCGATGAAGGTGGTTGACTGTGATGCAAAATATGTTGAAAACATAAGGGAACAAAAATGTATTGACGCCTTGACGGCGCACTTTTCTTTTATCATATCTTATAGCTGTGTCTTCGAAAGTGCATTTATCATTCTAAATGATTCAGATTTGCACCAAAGCATTATTAAATCCTGCAAAAGTGTTAGGTAGGCTATCTTAATCTTTTTTGCTATTTCCTTCCCATTTTTTGCCATTCCTTTGTAGTTCTTTGGTTGATAACTTATACAATTAAGACTCTATGGGCAGGTGGCACTTTATCGTGGAGCCTGCGGTGTTCGTGCCTTCCACTTTGATTGTTAGGATACATTCTTTCCATCAAGTAATTGTGATTTTTCAGGTTAGGAGTTTTTTCCCCCCCCTCCGTTTCTTTCTTTCTCTTGGTCTCCTTAGACATATATGTGATATATATATCTGTTGATCCTTTTGCTTTATTTTTTTGCCTGCTTGTTTGCCACCGGACATCTCCATTTTATTCTTTACTAATGCCTGGATATTGAGCTTGTAATCCTTTGATGATGCATACTGCATAGTATATAGAACTATAGAAGCGTATATTAGGCCCCAGGCTGTCAGGTTTGGATATTTGTTGATAATGCCAAAATTATTGGCATTTATGATATACTTATAAATTTGAGTCATTTACGTCTGCCTCCTTTGTGTATGTATGAGATTGTGACGGGAGAGTGGGTCATTTTAGTGTGGATAAGTGTTCAAAAATTAGGATATTACACTTTGCAAATATGTTTTTCTTGTAGATATACATCTTTTTGTGGTGTTCAATCTGTTCATTGCTTATCAAGAAGTTTTCTGTATTTGGTAGCTGTATTACTGATTCTCAAACGTGGTTGGATTAAAGCACATTCTCTCTTATTGTCAATTTGCACTTATCTGCTTTGGATTAAAGGCCAACTAAAATTAGCCTTTCTGCATCCTTTCTCTCTGTGATTTGTGTAATCCACTTCTTCTCAAGGCCTCTACCTTTACCTTGCCAAGGCCGGTATCCTCTTAAATAGGGTTTGATGAATGAGCTCTCCACTTTGTCTTGTCCCTACTCATTTCGACCTGACTTGGCCCATTATAGTCATGTGAATATGAAAAGTGCAACTAGTACCTCCTAATCTATGGACCTGTTATATAGATCTTCTGGTAGATTAAGTCATAAAAGTTCCCTTTTCTATCTAAAATTTACGTCTTACAACTTAGGCCCTGTAATGGAGCCACTAATCCCTAGCAAAGTGTGAGGCTTCAAGGCTTTTGATCCTTGCATTAAGGCAAACATTGGTTTATATTCTTGTAGCCCGCTTTCGATCATAGAGAGGCTATATTTAGATTGAGCTTTTTGACGAAGAAATATAAAGAAGTAGAAGGTGCTAGGAAGGTGAAGAATGACAATATTTTAAAATGTAAAATTTATTGTGTGGGACTAAAGTAAAAGTATTAGGGCTTAGTATTATGTTTTATTCAATTTCAATTTGTATGGAAAATTTGTCAGAAGGAAGAAAGGCTCTTTTTTGTTAAAAAAATGTGGCACTTCAAGATATTAAACCCTTTTTTGTTGTCCATAACCTTAGTCTAGCTGATTCCAGCCGTTCAATGTCACTTTTCGGCGTTGACTATTGTGCTTAATCAAAGGCCTTGATTTTCTCCCTTGGTCCTTCCCAACTGTGATGCTCGGACTCGGTCCACCACCCTTCTGTACTATACGGCGTGACCTGGGTACAAATATAGGGGTCTGACCCTTGGGAAAGAGAAAGTGGACTCTTCAGTCATGAACCCTAGTTCTAAAATGGAAGGGCGGATTCACCAAAACAAGAGCCTAAACCTTAGGGCTTTTTGATTAGAAGACAATGGTGAGTAGACCGATGCTACGAAGTTGCCGATTTTCTTATCAAACAACTTCGGCATTTTCAGCTGTTCATTTTATTTATTTATTTAACGTGGGTTGGGGGTAGGTAGGGTAAATAGTCGATATGTGGGCGGGGTAAGTTTGTGGGCTTACATGATTTTCTTTACAATTTTTTTAATCTTTATTTAAATCTGAACAATGAATATTTATATTTTTATTGACTTTTCCAACTACCTTAAACTCTTTTTTTTTTTAGTTTTTATAATTGTCGGGTCCCCGAGTCCAAAATTTGGACTCTTTAAAAATGTATCAGTGGATTCTTAATTTTATAATTTTCCGAGTTTGACACTTGTATCTACATCGAGTCCAACACCCGTAGCCGAGTTTGAGCATCCTAGCTTCTTGGCCACCATTTCCATAATCCCACAACCATTCCACTACTATTCCTTTACCATCCTCCTCAACATCATGCATAAAATCAAAATTTGATATTTAAACCAAGTTTAATTTAAAAATATACTACTTCCGTTTTTTTTAGTTGCACGTTTTGACTTTAGCACTATTCACATACATCCCTTTGACCGTGTTTTGTGCTTTATACGTAATGAAAAATTTAGTCATATGTGATTTTGTTAGATTCGTCATGTTATATACTTTCAAAATAAACTTTTCAATTTTTGCTTATTGATAATTAAAGATATTAATGATTGAGTAAGGGCCTGTTCTCATAAGTTTGTTTTCAGTTCAGCACTTCAGCTCAGCTCCTAATTTCCTTCTCTTATAAAATATTCATTTCAGTTTAGCTTAGTTGAGTTCAGTTAATGAGAACAGGCCCTAAGTGCATTGACAAACATGACTAAAGAAATGTGTCAATTGAAAAGAAACGGAGGAAGTATTGTATATTGGAATTAGAAAGGAAAGAGTGCAAAAAGAGAGAGAGAGTGGTTGCGCGGGTTTGTGTGGGGCTATAGTGGGTGTTGGCAGAGTGAAAGGAGGAGAGAGAATGAGTAAGATAGCAAGAGGGAAAAAGAGGAATAAAAAAAACCCAACAAGAAAACAGTCAAAGACAACGTGAAATTGTCGGTGAAAATAATAAAAAAAAAGTTGTAGAAATGAGGAAGAGAGCGAGAGAGCAATAGGGCTAGTGGTCGGAACATGGCGGTCACCCGCTATCGGTGCACAAATCGTCGGCAATTTCGCCTATTATAAAAGTTCGGCTATTGGTGCCTAATTTTCGACGGTTTTTTTACCGCCACAAGCCTTTGGAAAAAACATCGATAGCCACAACTAGCGCCAAACGATAAACCCCTCACTGACGGCTATAAATTGTTGGAGAATTTTAACCGTCTACGGAAACCGTCAATATAAAACCACCCACCAACGACCTTTGTCCGTTGGTATACCCCCCCCCCCCCCCCAAAAAAAAAAAAGACCCCTACCCACTACCCCAATCCTCACACAGTAACACCCCAAACCGCCATCTCCCTCACCAACGCCCCCCAACCTACCACTGTCGTCCACCACCACAAAAAAAAGATAAAAACCTAAAAGCACGTATCCCACCACTGTCATCCACCCAATGCAAATAAATGAAATAATAAACCCCTAAAAAAACCACTAAAACCACCCTATTTACTAACAAAAATAATTGATATATCACCATAAAACAACCAATTAAATGAACTAAAGGGTAAAAAAACTCGGAAGTCATAAAAATATGAATAAAACAAAAAAAACACACGTTTGATATTTCATCAACTCTAGGTTTATATTGTGAGATTTGACCATGAAAACTTTAGATCTAGAGTTTGAGTTTTCATGTTCGAATTACACCATGAAAACCTTTGTTTGCTTTTTTTTTTTTTTTTTTTTTTAACCATTTTGGGTTTAAACCCCTTTTTTTTCACCATTTTGAGTATAACTTTTTTTTTTTTTTTTTTTTTTTTAAAAAAAAAAAATAATAATAATCAATGAGTTAAAAAGATTTCTGAAATGTACCTTTTCCCTTTTAAATTTCATTCCCACTTGTCCAGATCCCTTGTCTGAAATTCTGACTACTTCTTAAAGGTGTTCATTTTTCTAACCTGCTAAACTCTTGAATCAATTCCTGAGCTGGATACCCTTATGCCATATCTGAGACTAGGTATCACCGTATCAGTGTACAGGCATTACGGCAGTGTACTTGTGTCTTTTCTCTTGTTGATAAATTTTTCTTTATCTTCCCTGAAGCAAGCAGGCAGTACTTCTGCAGTGCTGGATTTGTCCCGTCTCTCTTTGAAACATACGAAGTATTTGTTACTTTTTGCATGTAGTTTCACTTGATGGCTACAAATAGTGACCCCCCAAAATGGAAGCAAGCACATCTGGTTCACAAGTATCAAGATTAATTGGCAAATTGGAAAGTTGTATCTGGTTTGCCTGTGTCAAAACTTTTAGTTTCCTTGGGATGCTTCATGAATCATACTAAATAGTGAATGCACTCGAATTTATTGATCTTGAGGTGATGATTGTTGGCAATTCATATCAGGGATTTTCTCATTCAGAAGCTGACATTTAGATATGGGCATAGGCATATTAAATATAGTTCTGTCAAATGTTTTGTTTCCCTTTGCAAAACTTGAATGACTTGGCTGATCTGTTAACTAGTTTGTCTTATATCTTATAGTGAATGGATTGAACTTCAGAAATATAGCTAAACTTCTGAGTTTATATCTTCAAAAATTTTAGACTTGGATGACTTGCAAGTTGCAAGAGAAGTTATAGTTTTCATAATATTGTAAGCTACTTTACTCAAATCCTTCATTTCACCTCAATTAACCATGGCCAAAAACATGATTTTCTCTCTCTCTCTCTCTTTTTTTTCTTTTTTCTTTTCCTTATATAATACGAAGTATAAAGTAGCCAAACCTGACGGTTGGACTTGTAATCGTGTCTGGCACTAGTACCTAGCATAGGGTATATAGGTCAAGCTTTTGAATTGCTTGCTCTGCATGACACATGTAATCTTTCCTCGAGCATAGTTTAGGCTTTTAATTGGCGAAGATTGCTGCAAATCCGTAATGCTTAGAAGCAGCATACCAGATAATTTGAACTTTTGAGTATACTTATTTCAAGTTCTCAATCTCAGCTTTTAATTCTCAAATAATGTCCCAAAGCGGGAACATATATGTATGGCTTAATTCCTTTGAATACGCATTCATAATTTGCTATCAGTAAGTCAATGCTTCCTATGAAAATTAAGAAACTTAGAAATACCCGAATACCTTTTCAAGATTCTGAAACATATAGAAGTGTAAAAACAATTTGATGCCCTTTTTCATGGAGTGACTCGTAGGAAAATTTTGAGAATCAATATGCAATTTTTATTCTGCCATTGAAATTAACAGGATTAATTGTTCCTTTGACAGTTCTGTTTAATCTTGCCTGCCTTTGCCCTTTGCCTCAGCTCTTTGACTGGCTTTGATTCAATTTGAAGGAATCTGCAGGTGCCACAACTGTTGTTTCAAATTCATTTCAGTGTTCGTTTTTCTGCTTTATCCTTCTAAACTGCTGGAGAGGAGAGTCCTTGATAGACCTTGTCTGGTGATTGATGCATAACCCTTTTTATTCTCTGTATCTGTTGCTGGGTTTCTGGAACATGGTAGTCTGATTTGGTTGGTGCATAAGCGCCATGAAACTACAGATTTGAGAATCTTCATGATGCATGATTGTGGAAATTGACAGATATGATTCTGTAGCAACTCGATATTTGCTGTTGAACTACTTTCACGGTGCCTAATTAGAAATCCTCGGCACTAAGTTTATTTATAAGTTATTTCCTCCGTTTGTATTTAGTTGCAAGTTTGCAACCCTTCTATTTTTTTTTTGACAAGTGCAACACTTCTATTTCGGCACTATACTCTCTTTTTTTTTTTTTTTTTCTTTTCGGGAGAGCGGGTGGGGACTAGGTCCCTTTTCTGGCCTTTTACACTAAACTGGATTGCTGATATACAAATATTAAGGTAAAGTGTACCAAACAGTCACGTAGTATCTTCTTAGGGCTTTTAAAGGTAAATAGTCAAAGTATTAACGTCTTATCATTTTAGTTACTGATAATTAAATATATTTATGATTATACATTGGTAGGCGAAGAGAAGCACTATAACTAATAAAAAAAAACCTATGTAATAAAGGTTATGGACTTGTGGTGTTAACCTGCTTTTTATGGAAACTATTTATTCTCTCTCCCTATTCTTTTGTTTCATTTGCTCTAAGATGCATAATGCATATAACTCCATTTTTATGTACGTAAACATTTTTTAAAAAAAAAACTTGATATTAATTAAATATACGATAAGACAAATTTAAATAGCCAAATATTTAAAAATTTGACCCAGTTATTTAGAATGAGCAAAAAATATAGGGATAGAGGGAAATGTTTCAAAATTGGTCATGAGGCCTCTCCTTTCCGCTCACCAAAAAAAAAAAAAAAAAAAAAAGATAAATTGTTTTAACTAACCATTCACCATTAGTATCCATCAATAATTGTATTTTATGCATGAAATTACCCACTATGTTAAATTATGTATAATAGTATCTATCAATTAAGTAGTACAAACAAAAATTTGATTCCGCTTCGAAAAAATAAAAAATTGATTATATGACTTCGTGTGTTTTGATGAAAAACATGTTTTAAGGATTTTTTTTTATTTTTTTTATCTTTTCATTCTCTATTGTTTGGTTTAGTAAGGATGTAAACTATTTTTCCAAATGTGGAAAATATTTTGTCTATGAAAAGAAGGTATGCCATATTTTCCTTCCTACTCCTTAGTCCTTACATCCCTAACCTCTTCAAGATTTGGTGTTATTTCTTTGTCTTCGTCGTGAGGGGTTGTCTAATTGTGGTCATTCCTCTTTGTCGATGAGAGGCTTCTTGCATGTATACAAACTCTAGAAATTAGTTGTCTTTCTTGATTCCTTTTGCCGTAATCCTTAGTGGTCATCACTCTACTTTAAATCATCTAATAACCATTGCTTTTCTATTGATGAGCTTCTTTATGAAGCTTTGTAATTTAATTCAGTTTATTCAGTATTTTTTTCTTTCCTCAGTGTTTTTATTATCTATGATTTTTACTTTTGGTTATCTAGAGATAGGGGGACAATTATGCTTAAATGCCTTTCTAACAAAAAAAAAAAGTACAAATGAAATAATTTTCGTATTAGCCAAAAGGAGGATTTCTCATCCTTTACGAAGTTGAGGTCACAAGGACCCAACTTAGGGGTAAAAAAAAAAAGTAAATTGCAAAATGCCTCTTGTTTTAATTAAAAAGAATACAAGAAAAGTTGAAAAGGTGTGGGACCACTGGCGGATCTAAAGAGGAACAAGGGGTAGCACATGCTACCCTTGAAATTTTGTTTTTTTAATTTTTTTTTGTAAAAATAAGCTCTATAAACTACATTATAAAGATTATTGTTCGACTCTTTGTTTGGTGTAGTCAACGTTGCCTTGATGGTCTGTTTTGTTTGAAGAAGTAGCTAAATGTGAAAAATCTTCCCATTAAATTATGAAATAACATGTTTTCTCATGCTCAACTATGACAATTATTTAGTTTTATATTAGTAAACAAAATTTATTCAACATTTAAATGCACTATATAATCCTATGTGATAATCTTTTTTCTTATATACAACACAAAATTTGATTGACACATATGCCAGCATAAAATTCAGTATTTTGATACAAAGAATATAAATTGTTTGTAAGAGCAATAATTATTTAAAATTTTAATGGTTAATAATTACTCTTACTCGGTATGATTGACACATATGCCAGCATAAATTTTTTACTAAACTAATAATGTCAATAATGTAAACGTTGATAGAAGAAAATCAAACTATACGTTGAGACAATTATAACAAGCTAAATACCCATATTTATATGTTTAACACCAATATTAGTTAAAGTGATGCATGTGAATGGTAAAAAAGTTAAAACGCATTAGATAAAAAAAACTAACATAGTTTGTTCGACTATTTTTTTTTTATCCAGTGCTACCCCTGACCTGAAATCCTGGATCCGCCACTGTGCGGGACCCACTTAGTCAGTTCCCTTTTGAAAATTCAAAATGAGAAGAGGAGATAAAACGGTTTTAGGGTATTGAGAAAGGAGAGGAGGAGAGAAAGCAATTTCATTTCTAAGGGAGAGCAAAGAAAAACAAGAAAAACCTAAAAATTGCGACTTGAATTTCTTGAATACCAAGTTCAGGCAAGGGTTTTGGGAGCACGAATTTGCCAATCTGTTTGTCGTCGTTCTTGGAATTTCCTAGAGTAACCGAATTCAAGTGAAGTAAGTTTCCGTACACTTGTTTTGTGTTTTTTTAACTAAAATTTGCTTCATCATTTTTTTAGTATCACTAAATGTCTTTATTTTCCAATTTATTTGTTCAAATATCGTGTATTTTGTTTTTTTTTTTTCACAAAAAAATTTTGTCGTGTATTTAAATAATTAGGGCTATTTGTCCAATTTTGCTGTTTGTTGAGGTTTGAACAGGTTTTGTAATTTTGTGATTGACAACTTATGTGTTCGTGAAATTGTAAATCTGTAATTGTTTTTAGTAATTGTCATGGGAATTGGGATTTTAGGGGGGGGGTCCAATTATTTGTTAATTTATTGGTGTAAAATTATGGGGAATGTTATTGATGATGTATTCACTACTAAAATTAAGGTTTTTGCGACTGTAGCAAATGGTCGCCAAGCAACAACGACTGCTAAAAATAATTGCGACCGCCAATGGTCATAACGAGGTGGTCGTTATTTATTTGGCGCAAAAAATCATAATCACGACTGATTGATGGTCGCAATAAATTTGCGACCGTTTCCTTGTTTTGCAACGACCGGTACTATAAGCGGTTTCAAATATGGACTTTTGCGACGGATATAGACGATCGCTAAAAGTTAAAAAAAACTACAAGCAATTAAACCCAGCAGTGTTGTTTTTTTTTTATAAAAAAAAAAGACTTAGCAGAAATCCACTATATGCGAAAGCCAGCATAAATCAAACAAAAAAACAACCAAAATCAAATAAAAAAATCAAACCAACCCAAAAACAAACCACAAAACAAATTCAAATTCAAACCAAAACCAAAACCAAATAAAACAAACTATCCAAAAATCAAACGAAAAACAAGCCACAAAAATCAAACACCAGAAATCAAAATTAACAAAAATCAAACCAAAATTGAAATTGAAAATCAACCAAAAACAAATCACAAAACTAACCAAAAACCAAACCAAAAACAAGCCACAAAAATCAAACCCCAAATAGTCAAAATTAAAAAAAAAAATCAAACCCAAATTCAAACCGAAAATCAAACGCAAAATTAACAGAAAAAAAAAAACAAAAATCAAACCCAAAGTTAACAAAACATCAAAACAAAAATCAAAACCCAAATAAAATGAACAAAAATTGAACAAAAAAACATTATAAACATGAAAACATACCTCAAACCCCAAATTGACATAGAATTTCATCTTGAAGTTGGTTTAATAAGGCTAAAAGTCTAGATCTAGAGTTTTCATGGTTGAATTTGACCTTAAAACCACTAACTTGGTTAACACCGTCGTCTAAGCATCAAACCAAAAGAAATAGGGACCGTGAGGAAGAAGTCGCCAGATGTGTCAACACCACCGACGTTGCCAGAAATTTCCAAGAGAAGAGGAAAGAAATCGAACTCGTTAAAACCACCCAAGTATTGCCCGAAATTTCCGAGAGAAGGGGAAAGAGAATGAGAAAAGGAAAGAGAAAGAGAAGAGGAAAGAGAAACAGAAGAGAAGAAAAGAGGAAAGAAAAGGAGAAAAGAAAGGGTGGAAATGCGGAGGAGAAGAGAAAGAGTGAAAAAAGAGAGAAAGGACAACGATGGACGGAGCGGCGCTTAAGAGAATTAGGGTTAAGGATTGATTTGGGCAACCCTTTTATACCTTTTTTTTTTAAAAAAATTACACTTTTGCGACCGCTAAACGCAATAAAATTTTTTTTTTAAGAATTATTTTACACATTTTTATTATATAAAAAAAATGTTTAAATACCTTTGCAACCGTTTAATAGCCCAAAAACAACCGCAAATATGCGACCGTTTTCAAAGCAGTTGCAATTATGTGACCGCGTCAAAATCAATCGCGGATTTCATATTTTGCGACCGTTTTGGTGACATTCGAAGAAAACTGGTTGCAATTTGTTTGAATTTTAGTAGTGATTACCCACATACTATGTAGGTGTGGATTGGAATTTTGATATCGCGTAGTTATGAAATTGGTATTACGTTGATACCAGCTTATGTCTTTTTGGTATTAATATGATACAATTATATTCAACTTTGTCGGTGGAAGTTTATTTTTTTAGTGAGAGTGATATTTGTGTAAATCTGAACATGTTTGAACTTAGTATGAACTTGTTTGAGTTGGCGTGTTGTGTCCATTAAATTGGGAAATCATGTGGTGGTTGGATTTGTGTGTAAATTGGTCTAGTGTGTGTGTAAATTGGTGATTCAAATTAATTATTTGGTTTTCGTGTGTGTGGTTCTAATGTGTTTAGTCATGGTGTCCGAGCAGTTCAATGACTCCTCAGTAGGCTGCAAAAGTAATTGGAGGGGGGGGGGGTGAGTGATTTGTATTTAAACAAAGTATGTTACAGGAAGAGTATGTTTGAGAGTAATTTTTTTTTTAAGATTATACAATTCATGGGTCTGTTCTCTAATCATTTAATTATATATGGATCTGTTGAGTTTTGTATGTAATAAGTGAATGTATATGTTGAATCCTTTTGCATTGTACCACTTGCAGTTTAGCTTAAAAAAATCACGTGGCATGTTCTTGTTGCTTCATCTAGAAAACATATCAACAATAAAAGAAAATGAAAGATGTGGTTGTTGATGATGGTAAAGATTATAACTTTGTCGGAATGATTAGTGGGTCAGATGATGCTGAGTATGTGTTGGAAGAAGAACATTATGCTGAAGATCACTATGTTGAAAATCACTATGATGAAGATGATTTAAATATTACTAACTATGAGGAGGAGTCAGAGTACGTAGTTACACCTAATGATA